CCAAAACTAAAACAGAAAACCCTGAATCAGCTGCTTGTTAATCGTGCAAGAAATTTAAATGCATCCCCTGATGTCGAAAGAAGTTAGGAACATATGTTCCAAGATTTCCTAACAATTTCCTACCATATAGTATTGCACTGCACATATTCAACTTGGTACTAAATAATTTGGTGAAACATTCTTAACACAGTATTAGCTGATTGGGACGTGGTGAAGAGAGTACTTAAATTCTAAACTAATATTCTGAACTGAAAATAATTTTATTTAGAATTCATTTCTGTAACTTTCTGATATTTTTTTGTTTTGTTTGTGAGCTGCTCAAAATTAAGAGGAACGAGAAGTTCAAGAAATTCAACGGGACATTCATTCATTAATATATACAGAAACATTTTATTGCCCAAATAAAAGCATGTAACAATATTAAAACAATAATTTGGGTGAATAGACAAAGCGACCAACCTGCATCTGACGCTAGGAAAAGTGCAGTCATGGCTATATCCCATTTCTCCCCAAGTTTATAAAGTGGCATATAGTCTCTGGCTTTGCTACTTATTTCGTCGGGAGCTAGTTTACTCATGCCAGGAGTGTCACTTATTGGACCTGGAGCAATTCCATTGACTCTAATGTCATAGTCTGTTCCCCATTCTAGTGCCAAGTTTCTTGTAGTGGCATCAACAGCTGCCTGGTGAATAATAGAAATTTTAAAGGTGAATGCCAGCAAGATGATTTTAACATGTTAGTAATGTGTTACAAACCTTTGCAGCAGACACGTGAATTTGGTACCAAGAAGCTGTGTAGTGCAAGGTGGCACTGATATTTATTATTGATCCCCCACCAGAAGAGTTGCTCCTTCCTTCTCCTCCTTTCTTGAGATATTTTAGGGCTTCACGGCACATTGTGAACGTGCCAACAGATTCAATGTCCAAAACTGTCAAGAATAACTACATCTTATCACCACTTCCTTTCTCTTAATTAGTAGAATTGAATATGCTTGCATCACGCTCTAAACCTAAGATAGCTAGTAACTAAGAAAGTGTCTGGAGTAACCACTCATCTGAAACACTACAAATCTATCCTATCCACATTTTTGGATTAGTGCTTTCTTCAAGCACCGATGCCTTCGATATAAGAAATGTATAGTCTCCAACAACAGTTAACATAATTGACAAAACTTAAGACCCGTTTGGAAAACAACCTAATTAAGTTCTTATTATATAAGATCTTATAAAAGTTGTTTCCATGACGACCAAAAAGAAAATAAGATGAAATACTTTCTTATAAGTTTAAGTTGATTTCATAAATTCTTGTTAAGAGCTTATTGAAATAAGTTGAAAACAGCTTATGAACACATCACAAGGTATTTCCATAAGCTCTCCCAAACACATTCTCATGTCACAAGATAAGTTTGAATTACTATAAATAAGTTCTCCAAAATATGACACAATTTATTAAGTACTTTTGGTTCAGTTCTCCGTCAGAATAAGAATTTCACCAATCCCCATGGTAGAAGTTTGTATCAAAAGTTTAAGTTAATTTATGTTGACCGGGGTGAACTTCAATTTTGATTGGAGTATCACTGAAGTCTAAAAGTAATCTAAAAATGTGACTAAGTCATAATCGATTAATCTAAAAATTCTATTAATCAGATTTAACTACAAAAGGGATTTGCACCTATCATCCTACATGAGATAAGTTAGACAACCCTTCAACAGAATCATAACGAAGATGCGTTGGAAATCACATATTAATGACACTTCTCAATATACTGTTTTATTTTTAATTCTTTAACCAATATCCCGATTTATCATTTGCCTTAAGAAAAAAGAAAAGAAAAGAAGATGTGACACAGACAGAACCTGTGCGAAAGCCATTGGGGGAGAGATCCTCTGCCGACACAAGGAAGTTCCCAGCCGCAGCATTCACAAGTATATCAATCCTTCCAAAATGCTTAAACGTTGATTCCACCACCCTCTCTGCATCCTCTTGCTTCCGTACGTCCCCCTCAAACCCAACCGCCTAAACCAGAACAAAATCCACATCAATTACCCATTCACTCTTGCCAAAACAAAATACAAAACTAAAACATTCAGATTCAGGATGCAATTTACACGACCAAAAAGTTCATCAGTTTAGTTGTTCCTAGGCAAAACTTACATGCAGTTCTACAACGTTGTTTTGTGTTCTCTAATAAAAATTGATGTTTTGGCTCTAACATTGTCTAAAAAATTTCAGTATGTATTTCTGATAAAAGAAAACTCTATTTTTCATCTAAGAATAACACTAAAAGCACCTTGCACACTACATCTAACTTTGTCCACGAATCCTCCCGTGTTAAATTTTTCCCACGCATGTCTTGTGGAAACACATGTCTAGGTACTTCAAAACCAAAATAGTCTCATGTGACTTAGTTTATATAGATTTTTCCCTCTCAATTCATAAAGACGCCATTTCAGATAAATCCATAACGCTCATACCAGTGTCCAATCCTGACTATACCTTGGTTGCGATTATCCTAATTCTAAAATCTGTTTAAACAAATTTCTCCACAAACTT